GGCTAATTTTTGTATCTTTAGTAGAGACGAGGTTTCACCATATTGATCAGGCTGGTCTCGAACTGCTGACCTCAGGTGATCTGCCCACCTCGGCCTCCCAAAGTGCTAGGATTACAGATGTGAGCCACTTTGCCCGGCCTCACAGTTAAGGTTATTAAACAATCTGATTTAACTGAATACAAAATGCTGGGTTGTGTGGTGACATGGTTTGTAAAAATGTAAACAGGGCTGGGCATGGTGGCTCACATCTGTAATCTCAGCACTTTGGGAAGCCGAGGCAAGAGAACTGTTTAAGGTCTGGAATTGGAGACCAACCAGCCCAGGGAATATACAGGGAGACCCTATCTCTAAAAAAAAAAATACCTGGGCATGGTGGCATGTGCCTGTAGTTCCAGCTACTCAGGAGGCTGAGGCAGTAGAATTACTTGAGTCCAGGAGTTTGAGGCTGCACTGAGCTATGATCACACCACTGCATTCCAGACTGGGTAACAGCAAGTCTATCTGGAGTGCAGTGTCTCTAAAACAAAACAAAAAACCCAAAATATAAACAGTAAGGACTATGAGGTATGTATAGGAAATTAATACCTGAAGAATATTTTACCATGTTCAAAAACAAAATTCTTCATGTGGCTGAGAGAAGACAAAAATGGTATGTTTGCATTCCATTTGCAGGTATTACATAAACCCATTTTAAATTAACTAAAATGCCTAGGATTTGGAGGGAAAAATTATCTCGTGCTCACATTTGAAGGTTCCTCTCAGAAATAAACCATTTAAAAAGACCACAGTACTGGTTTAATTTTTTTCTGGTAGGGACAGAGGGAAACAGGTGGTCTACCACCTTTCAAAATTCAGTCACATGTTCTGAATAGAAAGGACAGTTGCATGTGACATTAAAACAAGGCTTTCTGAAGCAGTAATTCCCAGCCTTTTTGGCATCAGAGACTGGTTTCAAGGGAGACAATTTTCCACGGACTTGGGTGGGGGGATGTTTCGGGATGAAACTTCCACCTCAAGTCATCATTAGTTAAGATTCTCATAAGGAATGCACATCCTCGCATGTGCAGTTCACAATAGGGTTCACACTCCTATGATAATCTAATGCGCTGCTGACCTGGCAGGAGGCAGAGCTCAGGTGGTGATGCTCACTTGCCTGCCGCTCGCCTCCTGCTGTGTGGCCTGGTTCCTAACAGGCCATGGATTGGTACTGGTCCACAGCCCAGGGTTTGGGGACCCCTGTAACAAAAGGAAAACAAGATTCTTAAATCTTTACAGGAAGGAGGAATGGAATGGAAAATAAAGCAAGTTGTATACTAAATGATGTTAAAAATCCCTTTGTCACCTTTAAAATATTGCAAGCAGAGAGGAAAAAAATATTAAAACCAACCATTTTACTTTCTTATTTGTAGATAATGCCTGCCTTATGAGAATGTTGTTTCTTTTAAAGATTCCAAAAGAACCATATAAAAACTTAGTAATGACTTAATTGTTCACATATTCTAGTGACATCAGTACTTTTTCAGGAAGTAATGTGGAAAGGTTGGCACTAGAAGTTGACGTAAGAATTAGTTTAGCCAGGTGCAGTGGCACATGCCTGTAGTCCCAGCTCACAGGAGGCTGAGGCAGGAGGATTGCTTGAAGCCAGGAATTCTGGGCTATTATAGTGTGCTCTGCTGATTGGGTGTCCACACTAAGTTCGGTATCAACATGTTGATCTCCTGGGAGTGGTGGACCTGCTCAGGCCAGAAATGGAGCAGGTCAAAATTCCCGTCCTGGTCAGTAGTGTTATCGCCCCTGTGAAGAGCCACAGCACTCTAGCCTGGGCAACATAGTAAGACCCTGTCTCACATAAAAAATAAAATAATAAAAATGAAAAAGAGAATTAGTTTAGATCTCTTGATAATTTAAACATTAATCTAAATTATAGGGTTTAGGTGGAGTTAATCTCTGCAAGTCCTGAGGCGCTATACCCAAGGTGCTTGGCCCTACCAGGAATGCACTCTTGCTTACATGTGTTTCAAATCTAAATCCCATCATTTAGTTTTTTCCTATTTAGGCTGTGGGACGGTGTGTTTATTACAATGATTGAAACCTGTGCCTTATTTGAATTACTAGTTATTCAAAACACACTTTTGGGTTTAGTGCCCGGTAATTACAGCGTACTCGTGTAAGACTTAACTCTCATTGATTCCTAGAGAATTGTTTTTGATACGGTCTCGGTCTGTCACCCAGGCTGGATGGAGTGCAGAGGCACAATCTTGGCTCACTGCAACTTCTGCCCCTCGCTGGGCTCAAGCAATCCTCCCACCTCAGCCTCCTGAGTAGCT